GCAAAATTGCCATCCCTAATTGGTATGGATTACTGGATGCTCTTTTTATTGGTTGGTTATGATGGAGAATGCAAAGGTTTTCAACCGAAGTCGTTCAAGCCCGTCTCGGTTTGGTACATCCATAGGTTTCGTTCCTTTGGTTTGTTTGGCGGTGTTGTTCGGAACACCTTGGTTTAAGATGTTGTTCGGAACATCTTAATTTGATAAATGCTGTTCAGAGCATTTTTTGTTCTGTTTCTGTTTCGACGATGCTATTCGGTGCATCTTGATCGCCATGATGCTGTTCGGAGCACGTGGTTCACTTAGTTTGACGGACTAGACGACTTTGGCAAGACCTTTTGTTATCTCCAGCTTATCACCATCGACGTTTCACGAGGCATTGGACATGGTATTCATCGACATCGACAGTCGGGTGGCCGTTGATTTATGGATTTTGCTAGCGACGAGTCATGTGCTAGATCCTATTAGTGACATGCATGTTTCTGTGGGCCGACGATTCTTATTTTTTATGCAGGTTTGGCAAAGCCTTTATTGTTCGATTAGTCTTCGTGTATTGGAGGATTTGGAAAGGGCTGTGTTCTTCAGTTTATGATAATATTCAATTCCTACCACATACCTTGAGAAGACAATTTGATGCCCAAATAGAGGAATGGAACTCGATTGGCACAAGCTTCCTCTGTTTTACGCCGACAACACACATCTAGTTAGGCATCTTTGATGTCTTCTTCTAGCGTTCCATCTCCAATTCCGTCTAATGTTTTTTTCTCCACTTTGATGGAGCGATAAAACGTGCAGTAGGTATAACAGAGTTGTCCATATCGTGAAAAAATGACTCTCTTATCGTTGGATCGGTTTCTAATAAACCGACGTTCCTATGTTTTTTTATTGACCTGAAAAAGTTTGTTGTATTATATCGTATATTATTGTACTTTTTGGGATATCTATGGCAAAAAAAAAACTATAGCTTGCATAGAGAATAAATAAAAAGCCCCGATGGTTGTTGTCTTTCATTCATTGGTGATCTTCTTAAAATTGACAATCCACGAAATAACATCTACACAATACAAACTAACCACGCATAGACCACGTTTTCACCAAAGAGCTTTGCATTTTACATTTTACTTATTACTAGATGGCGATGCCGCGTCTTGTCGCGGGACGGAGATGGCTTATGGGCATGTATTATGTGGTCTGTTATGGTGTTTTGTTAATATTATTAGCTTAAAATTAATTTTTTATTAGTAGTTTTGTTAGTAGTATTGACTGAGAAGAGATATATGACAGTCAACATCCAATTTAATTTTTTTGAATTTTTTGGCTAATAATTGATATTTACCTAAACCCAAGTAGACCCATTGATTATGGGAAGGGAATGGGTGACTTATATATGAGTTTGGAAGTTTGTATATGAGTTTGGGTAGGGTATGGATATTTACTTTCATAATCTAAATGTGTATGAGTTGAGTATGGATACCCATTTATTCGAGGATGTTTTAATTACACATACAAAAATTAGACTTATTTGTAGGAATTCAAAAGTTTAGGTACCAAAATGTAACTTAAAAAAGTTTAGGTACTAAAATATTATGTTTCATTAAATTTTTGAGGACTTATATGCCAAAATATAAATTTAGGTTATAAACCTAAAGATCTATTAAGTTTAGGTACCTAACTGTAATTTGCATAGTTAAGGCTTGATTCCTTTATGATGATGTATTTAAGAAGACAAATATTTATATTTTTATAGAAAAATGAAAACTATTTATTTGAAATATGTAGATACTTAGTCAAACATTCCATGTATAATTGTTGAAAATTCTAGCCCGGTGAAAAAGAAAAAACTCTAAAGAAAAGCAAAAAGAATACAAACTGGAACTCGCTTAAAATTTCCCGCCTTCAAATCCCATAGTAGAAAATGACGACTTTCTAATAAGTAATAACCATATATCTTTATTTTTAGGCAAAATACATTTGTATAGCCAAAATTTTTGCGTTTGTGATAATAATAGCCAGGTTTGAAGAAATACCATTAATAGCCAGATTTCTAGCTGTTGTATGACAAATATAGCCATTTCCGTTAGATACTTTAACGGTGTTAGTAACACCGTCAACTTCTTTGACGGTTCGTTGACTAGACTCCCACTCAGCGCACACGTCAGCTCACAAATCAACTACATTTGCGACGTAAGTGCCACGTCATATTTTACTTTAAAAATAAATAAAAATTAATACATTAATATATTCTTTCTCAATTACATGGCTATTTAGATTAATAAACAATCGAAGGGACATTGGTTGAGAAAATTATCCAGAAAACATTAAATTGAACTCATAGAAAATCCCATCCACCATCGTCATCTGCTCCGCTACAAAAAGCAGCCGTAACCGCTACCGCTGCTCGCTCGGCCTTTTGGGTCCTTCGCCGTCGCCTACAAATCCATCCCTCCAATATAGTTATCTCTCAAACCCGTCCGGCAACAACCGTTTTCCCCCCAGTACGTCCTTAGATTGAAGACTAATGACTTGTTTTGAAGCTGGAGTGTCCCTCTACATATTGAAGTGATTGAGAGCTCGATAGAAAGTTCAGAAGACCATTTTTGAACCTCATCAAAAGGCTATGCCAAAACTGGGAAACTGCCTGGAAATGGCCAAGTCTGGAAACGTGTTTGTGAAGCCTATTTTGGAGCTCAATTCGAGAAGCATGAATGCGAGTCGAGTAGGTATGTTTTTATACAAATTCAAGGCATTGGATGAAAGATTGGATATCTGTAAGCCTTCAAACAAAAGTGTCGAAGTTGCTACGAAGGCTGTTTTTCTAGCAGACTTCGAGCACAAGCAAGCTGCCAGAAAAACAGTCTTCGTAGCAACTTCGAGCCTTTTGTTTGAAGCCTTAAAGATATTCAATCTTTCATCCAATGCCTTGCCTTTGTATAAAAAAATATGTAATTTAATGTGGTAGAGGCCCCTGGACTTGACTCGCATCCATGCTTCTCAAATTGAGCTCCAAAGAGGCTTGACAAACACGTTGCCAGACTTAGCCATTTTCAGGCAGTTTCCCAATTTTGGCATAGCCTTTTGGTCAGGTTCAAAAATGGATTTCTGGACTTTCTATTGAGCTCCCAAGTACTTTAATGTGTAGAGGGACACTTCAGCTTCAAAACAAGCCTTTAATCTCCAATTTTCATCTATCCAATTGTAAGATATGAATCTCCCAAGTGGGCACCATGAAACTGTTTTTACACTGAAACAACATATTAGGTCGACCTGATCCTATATGAGGTCGACCGAAAAGTGCATGTCACCGTGACATGCATGTCACCGTAGCAAAGTCCTATATTTTACTAAGTATGTTCTCATGTTACTGAATAGAATGTTCTTTTAAAAACTGGTAATTATTATTTCAAATGGATAACATACATATTTTTTTGAAGTAAAAATCCCATGGAAGACCAAAATGGTCGAATCTTCTCCTACAGTTGAGTGATACAACATCTTGCATGGTACAAACTAAATTTATATTTTGATGTTATGGTGGATTGGATTCATGGATTGGTGGATTCGATTCGTGGATTCAAGTGAATCTAAACATTCGACCAATATGTAAATTTAAAAAATTATAGGTACGAAAACTCATAAAATTAAGATAACAAAACATAATTGTTCAATGATTTTACATTAAAATTAAATTTGGGACATCAAAATATAAAATGTACATTATAGTGACTAAGTTGTGATTTAATTAAATTTGAAGTATCAAAATGCAATTATATAGGTAACAGTAAACCAACTCCACATTTATATATATTAATAGGTCGACTAGTTACTTTGTGTTTTGATGGATTGAGTTTGTTACTTATTATCAGTCTACCCGAAATAAAAAAAATTTAATTTTGAATTTCTGTAATTATTTTAGTTATCCAAATATTTTGATTATTTTTTCAGTTGTTATTAAAAAATAAAACGAATTAAATAAATTTAAAATTTAAAATTTTATTTCGGGTTTGTTGACGTGGGAAGTGATCTGGTGCTTGACTAACGGTCAATGAAGTTGACCGTCCAATTGGCCGTCAAAACCCTCGCTCGGCCAAGCAAAGAAGTATGGTGCATAGTTCGGGATTGCCAGAGAAGCAATTTCAGAAACCAAGACTCAAAGTAGAAAGTTTAGATATAGTCCAGGTCAAAATAAAGTATTCCTTTTTGTTAAGGATAGTACCGTACTGTTCATTTTTTTTTATCGGACTGTTCAATCTTTAACAAATAAGCAACTAATGTTTCTAATTCATAATAGCTCAAGTCCATTACAAATTCTTCATAATTTAAATTCATTATCCGTAAAATCAGATTTTTTCCATATCCAAGTAGCAAACAAAAATTCCCATGATCAATTGAAGAACTTGTTTATGAGCCTTTATTGCTTAGTGCTGATGAGTAATTAACACCTTGTAAGAAAGCAGTTAAGGTTCTTACATGGAAGATTTAATCATGATATAAGTGTTATTAATATAAATTTTTTTTATGAAATTATATAAGAGAAGATTAAATCATATGATATCATGTGTTCAATTTTGCCCCATGAGTCTCAATATCAATAAATGATTTAAATTGACTGTTTTGACATATAAATTCAATCCATTTTAAGCTCACTCGATTGATCTGAAAATATTCATTGTATTTGAACTTATGATGTTGTATGTTATGAGCGGAAGCAGAACAAAAAAAGGTTTAAAAAAAATTAGAACCTTTAACTTCATTGTATTATATCGCATCTTTTAAGCTCACTCACATTAGGAAAGATTAAACTCACTCAACAAATTATCAATCCAGCTTCTGCTATAAATACCCCAAAACCCCATTTATTCAAATTCAATCCATCCCATCCCCTGCTTTTCAAGCTCAAAGATCATTCTCTGTTCTCCAAATCTCCTCCCACCTCACTAATCATTTATTTAGCGACCATATTTCAGACTTTCTAGCGACGAAATTTAAATTCAAAGGAAAAAATGGAATTGATGAACGCGCTGCCGGAAGACTGTCTCTCCTTAATCCTCTGTTTCACTTCACCACAGGACGCCTGCCGATCATCGGCGGTCTCCCCCGAGTTTCATTCCGTTGCCCAATCCGACACCGTCTGGCAGAATTTCCTCCCTTCCGATTACCGCCGCATTATCGCCGATTCCGTTCCCGCCCTCCAATTCTCCTCCAAGAAGGAGCTCTACCGCAAGCTCTGCGACTCTGTTCTCGTCGACGGCGGCCGAAAGGTGGGGTTTTTTTATTACATATTTAGCTTCTTCTTTTTTTTAACTGATTCCATTTGGGTTTTCCCTAATCTTATATTTTGGGGATTTGCTTGCAGAGGTTGAAGCTGGAGAAATTGTCCGGGAAGAAATGTTACGAATTGTCGGCCAGAGATCTTTCCATAACTTGGAGCAGTGAATCGATGTACTGGACTTGGACTCCGCTTCCTGAATCAAGGTAGAAACTTTTTTTCTCGAGCACCAAACAGACACTAAAAATTTCAGGGGATTCGAATTCTGAGACTCTAAAGTAATGAACTTACTCACGTGGCAATGATTGATTCCCTTTTAGATTCTCGGAGGTTGCCGTGCTGCGGACAATGTCGTGGCTCGAGATCCAAGGCAAAATCTGTTAGAGTTAGTCAATAGAGTTGTAATACGACATTGATGGAGAAGTAAAGTATAAAGATGGAGTCTTTTGGCAGTTTAATTAATTAATTAAACGTTTGAATTTTGTGAAAAGAAGTGTCTTTCCATAAAGGTAACTCCCTTTTTTTCTGTGAAAGGATGTGTCCTTTCGGGAAAGGTAACTACCTTTTATGTGAAAGGATGTGTCTCTTCGGAAGGTAACTTCCAGTTTCACTACTATAAATAGATGGCTGCCATAACTCTTTTGATGAGAAGAGAGATTACTTCTTCTTTCCGTTTTCCTTCTCTATTTCACAAACACAGAAGTCTGCAAGATTGCTGCTTCCAGACTTAGAATTGAAGGGACTCCTGGGGGTGGTTTGCTCGAGCCTACCAGCAATTTGTAGTGGGGGCAAATAATACTTTAAGGAGAGTGATTAATCACGCATTCAATCCGATTCTTTCCTACCAGTTTCCTGACAATCTTAGAGTGTTATTTGTTTGTTGTTGTAAAATGGATTATGGAGTAAAGAATATGTTGAAGGCATGGCATGGCAAGAGGAAAAGAAGAATTCTGATATTCGTTCGAAACGATTTGGCATAATCTTACCTTGCAATCTGTTCGTCAAAATGCTTTGAAACTGGCCGCGCAGTTGGTTCCGGAAGGAGAATTGGCAATCAGTTTCATTAAAATCGAAAATTAAGTGGCATTCGACGGTCATTGTGATCTGGTAACACTGTCCTCTGTCCTTTTTCTTTTAAGTGCGAGTACAAATGACATATATATATGTTTGTTCCTGCCCGCCATTTGGAAAGGAAAAAGTGGTTGTAATTGGCCCCTCTTGGTTGATTTATTTGTTAATGGAAGTGCTTTGCTCAACGACTAGTTATTAGTGAATAAATGCAGTCGATCCTACATGAATGTAGTGGTCTGTGTATGGTCAGAAATACCATGGTTGTTTGATACAGTTTATATATATATGTTTATACTTTGTCTCTTTGCATGATCTGAGATTGTATTACATATATATATATATATATTAGTTTCCAACGTTTATGTGTTTGAAATTGGAAAGGTGTGTGTTAATGGATATATACATTTCATTTTCACGCAAGTGTTCTGTAAGTGTTTTGACACAAGTCATTGTTAATTATCTACAACAATGGTTCATGCTTCGAGCATTGCATGATTATTGTCTCCATGTTGTGGTGTAACATGGTTTGGCATAGACAGAACAATGACCGGGAACAGTCTGGTGATCGCTGAATTATTTGGTTTGGTTAAATGATATCAAATACTTTTGTCGTATTTGAGATGAGATCAAACTCATAATTCATATTATGAGAAGAGTTTGAAAAATTCAACTTGTTTGAATTTGGAAGAATCCACGTTGAATTCTTGAAATAAATTTTGTCACCAAAATTTGTATGAGTTTCAATTTGATGCTTGCAAGATGTAACAATTTGGTTTATGGAACAAAATTGTTTGAATTGTGATCTTGAAGTAAATTGGAATAACGGTGAAATATGTCCCCCGACATGATAATTTGTTTATCATGTATGTGATTTATGTCTTGGAAAAAGAAACTAAGATGGATCCTTATAGGAATTGAATAAGCTTGCTAAGGAATGAAAATTATCAAAATAATCATTGCCAGAATTGTTTATGGTATATATAGACATATACCATTGGCAAACAATTTGGCTTGAGAACTAATTGAGATGATCTTATTGAACTTAAATTCTGAATTACTTATGGTATATGTGTGAATTTATACCATGGGAAAGTAATTAGAAGATTGAATTAGAATATTCATTTGAATTGCTTGTGGTATGTCAATTTACCTTCGTGAAATGTCATTGGTAAGTAATTAGATGGTATTTCCAATACAATATGGAAATACAACTGAATTACTTGTGACATCTCAAGTTACCCTCACCAATTCCATTGGTAAGTAATTAGATGATATTTCTAATAATATCTGAATTGTTTGTGGTATACTAATCTAATTAGTTCATATCATTGGTAAACAATTAGATCAATGTAGTGGTTGAAAGTTCAATAAGTAATACCATGGAAAATGGAATTATTCCATGATAGTTCGGCAAGTGGAAGAATTGTGGGGGAGATGTTTTGATGCTAGTGAAATTAATCTACAATGGGTATATTTTTACACTAGGTGGTGGAGTTGTTTCTTGGGTTTCGAAGAAATAAAATGTGTATTACACTCTACCATGGAAGATGAATTCCTAGCCCTGGCGGCGGCTGGAAAAGATGCAGAATGGCTAAGAGACATGTTGTTAAGTATAGAGTTGTGGCCACAACCGATGCCAACCATTTCTGTCTTTTGTGATAGTGAGGCTACTTTGTCGAGAGCTTATAACAGATTTACAATGGTAAGTCTAGAGCTACTAGCCTATGACATGAACACGTTAGATATTTGATTACTAATGTAATAATTTCTATTATGTATGTAAGATCGCTCAATAATGTGGCAAATCCTCTTACCAAAGGATTGCCAAGAGGCATGATCTATGAGACATCCTAAGGGAAGGGATTGAGACCTCTTGTGTAGTTAGAAGTAACAGGAACCCAACCTTTTCTTTAGGTATTCACTAATTAAATGGTTCAATGTGGTAATAACAAGTTACTCTAACAGAGGCACTAATTTATTGTACAAGTAAATTAGTCCAAAGAAGGGTGAGTTATAGAACTCTTGAGATGAGTTATAGAACTCTTAATGAATTCATTTGGAATGTCACCTATGTGAGCATTTAGAGTGGTGCCGCTCTAACAAAAGTAGAGGTCAACTTTTGTGTATGCTCATGAAACAGGATCAGCACATGGCCATAATAGTGCTACCCTAGTTGGTGGTTGCGGTTTAGAGAAGAGACAAGTACGTGTGTGGCATCTCCGGTTATAGCTTTGGATCGTGACTCCTAGGCTTAAGCCCGTCACTGATTCGTTATCAACTTTGAGTTGCTTACACTAGGTAAAGGTTCAAATCGAAAAGATACCTTTATGTATGCGTTACTTGTTCGAGGCAGGTATTCTCAACTCTTGTTGACTAAGTGGGGGATTGTTAGAGTTAGTCAATAGAGTTGTAATACGACATTGATGGAGAAGTAAAGTATAAAGATGGAGTCTTTTGGCAGTTTAATTAATTAATTAAACGTTTGAATTTTGTGAAAAGAAGTGTCTTTCCATAAAGGTAACTCCCTTTTTTCTGTGAAAGGAAAGGATGTGTCCTTTCGGGAAAGGTAACTACCTTTTATGTGAAAGGATGTGTCTCTTCGGAAGGTAACTTCCAGTTTCACTACTATAAATAGATGGCTGCCATAACTCTTTTGATGAGAAGAGAGATTACTTCTTCTTTCCGTTTTCCTTCTCTATTTCACAAACACAAAAGTCTGCAAGATTGCTGCTTCCAGACTTAGAATTGAAGGGACTCCTGGGGGTGGTTTGCTCGAGCCTACCAGCAATTTGTAGTGGGGGAAAATAATACTCTAAGGAGAGTGATTAATCACGCCTTCAATCCGATTCTTTCCTACCAGTTTCCTGACAAAATCAACACTCAAATGCTAACTCCCAACACCAAATACGGAGCCTACCTCGTACTCAAATTATCCAACCGGGCTTTTGGCCTTGATCTGATGCCATCCGAAGTCTCGGTTCAAGTCGGTAACAAAGAACAGTGTCAAAACACGGCGTACCTACGGCGACAGAAAAACAGCCACGTGGAGTTTATGGAAACGTTGATGTATGGACACCGGACGGAGGCGCTGAAGTCGATGGTGGCCGCCGGTGGGGGAGAAGGGAGGTTGCCGGCGGAGAGGAAGGACGGGTGGCTGGAACTTGAGATTGGGGACTTCTTTAACAAGGAGAAGAGTGAGGAAGTGAAGATGGTCTTGAAGGAAGTGGAGGGCCACCATATGAAAGGTGGGCTTATTGTCCATGGCATCGAAATAAGGCCCAAACACTGAATTGAGATAATTCTTTTATTTTTTTTCCTTATAATTTATAGGCAAAATACAATTGTATATCAATAACTATCAGGTTTGTGACAATATATCCACAACTATCGAAATACACGAAATATTCAAAAATCGGAAGGTTGTGTGACAAATCTATCCACTTCCGTCTGAAACTATAACGGTGTGTTAGACGACGTTAAATTGACTAACGGAATGCTGAATCGATGCCATCTCACCTGCCACATAAGCCAAAAAGCAACCAAACTTTACACGTAGATGCCAAATTAACTAGTTGAATAAAGGCCAAATACAGTTGTTAAGTTGTATATCCACCACTATCAGGTTTGTGACAAATATATCCACAACTATCGAAATACACGAAATATCCATTTTCGTCCACTCCGTTAACTCCGTCAGTTAACTTGATGACTAGACAGACGGTGGATGTTTAGTTGGCGTGTTTCTGACCCCACTGAATGACTTGGATTAAAAGAGAAATTTTTAAAAAAAAACCCTAAAAACCACAGACGGCGAGACTAAAAATCCAACCCAGAAACACGCCCGATAACCACTGATCCTCCTCCGATCGACGCCTCCACCCCCAAATAACCCTACCCATCCCATATTTCGATTCCAACCACAATCCCCAACCATTGCCTCCCTTTTACTCCGACGGCTTCCATGCAGTCGGCGTCATGGTGATACCAATCTTGAATCTCAAACAAAAAAAGTTTGAATCTAACCAAATCGCGAACAGAGAAGACTATACAGCAGCGATGTCTAACAGATAACGGTGTAAAATTTGGTTGCTTTTTGGCTTATGTGGCAGGTGAGATGGCATCGATTCACCATTCCGTTAGTCAATTTAACGCCGTCTGACACGCCGTTATAGTTTCAGACGAAAGTGGATAGATTTGTCACACAACCTTCCGATTTTTGGATATTTCGTGTATTTCGATAGTTGTGGATATATTTGTCACAAACCTGATAGTTGTGGATATACAACTGTATTTTGCCTAAATTATTTTTTTTCTTTTAATCCACGTCATTTAGTGGAGTCGGAAACACGCCAACTAAGCATCCACCGTCTGTCCAGTCATCAAGTTAACTGACGGAGTTAACGGAGTGGACAGAAATGGATATTTCGTGTTTGATAGTTGTGGATATATTTGTCACAAACCTGATAGTTGTGAGTATACAACTGTATTTTGCCTAAATTATACTTGGAAAAAATAATATAGGTTCAAGGAAACTGATTCTTTATTTGAGACATTTGCCATTAAAAAAAAGTAACAACCATCTAACCTATCTTTAGGAACTTTTCTATATACGTTTTTGTAAGAACCATAAAATGAATTTTGGAGACCCGTTTCCGGAAAAACAAGATGATCCTACTTTTTTCTCCATATTATTCACATAATATGTATTTAAAGAAATTTTAATATATGCAAAACATAAAAAAAAAAAAAAAAAAAGTGGTGCGAAACAAGAAATTTTACACACAACTAAAAATTCTAGAGCAGCCGTCAAAGGTCATCCTTGGCACGAATTATGATTCGTCGATCCACCTCCAAGCCACAAACCAAAGATAAAAATCATCACTTCCGCCAGAGGATGAGAAGCTGAAGAGATGAATCTACCCCACAAGATGCAGTCGATTGGTCGAGGAAGACACCAGGAAAATCATATCTTGAGTCTCTAGATAGAACAATCGGTTATCGATTACGAGAGAAAAAAAAGTGTTAGATCCTAATAGGACCATTCCATTTTCATAAATCTTTCCATACATCCGCTTCTCTTCATCAAGCTCATTAGCTACAAGTTTGTAGGTTGTTTTTAATATAAATCTTCCATATAGTTGAATGCCCTAGATAGTCTCATCCTCCCCAACTCAGGTTGTGGGAGTAGGACTAGGAAGGAGTTTCCATTCCTGCAATGAGTGACAATTGAAATACGTCGAAAGAATTACATCATGGTTCATGAGTCATGCACACATGACACAACAAAGGTAATTGAAAATTGAAGGATAAAGAGGAAAGCAAAAAGCACAGTGACAGAAGTCTTAGATAATGCCTAGAAAAAAGACCAAAGCTAAGCTTAGCTTTACATCAGTCGTCCATCAAGAATAATGGGTCATCACACTAATCAAATAAGATTACATTTCGTTTTTTTCCTTAATCGCTTAATAATTTTTGGTGGATGGGGTAGCAGTGATGACCCTTAGGAACCCTTACAAAGTGACTTGCTTTAATTAACTATTATATTAGCAGATAAAACTACTTATGCACCAAAGTAATTAACGCGTCAATGGCTTTGTCGTCGTAACAAAACAGGAAAGGAGGTCGATGTTCTCTAAACTATATATATTCGATAGGTTGCGCAACATGAGAAAACAAGAGGCTTGACTCTTGAGTACCATTTACAATGGGCGCTTTTTCCAGGCAACATCGGAAGAGGATCCAGAAATTCTCATGTCTTTGCCGTGGTTTTGCTCAAGAGGATCCTGATATTCTCCATGTATCATGATGCAGGGGCTCGGCGCGGCCGCGTACATTTTTATTAGACTTAGTTTTTTATAGCTAAAGAAGTGGGGGTTCAGATTATATCTCGGCTACCCACTAATTTTTTTGTAAACCTTTGTTTGTTCTGTCTCCTCTCATATTAATTTGAATGATAATAATAATTGGATTAATATCCACGTTATACAAAAACTTTACCAAAAGAAATGCCTATCTAATGTACATCCTCTCTTTTGGTGCTTATTAAACTTTAGTAAATATTAAGTTCTAATCTTCGAATTCGAAATTTTAATTGTTGGTATTTGTTTGAGATGGTGATATGGTATATATAGAATCACAATTTACAACCCCACTCTATGCATTTTAACTCATAAATGTTCACTTAAAATGAACATTAGATGGATCTTCGAAGTTTTGTTGGAAAAGGTTAAAAGTACATGTGAATTATCAATAAGTTCATATTTTTTGTCTTGTATATTGTATACAACTGAATAATGAGATTATTTCGAGACAATTATATAGTCAAAATGACGATTTTAAGTGCCAAAATAGAGGATGTAGCATAGATGCATGATGCATCAATAATAAAATTATTAGCATTATAATAGTGAGATGGCGAGTAAGGAAAAATCAAAACATCTGTGTGTTCAGATGGTGGACAGAGTTGAACTAGGACTTTTCTTCGTCCAGGCATGTACAAATATGGGGCGGATGCTTATCACCGGCTCAAGTTAGGGTGCATAACCATGGGTTATGCATAGGAATGGCAACAAAACCCGAACCCACGGGTACCCACCCGACCCAACCCGGTCAACGCGGGTAAAACCCGTGTTGACGGGTTTTGGGCCGGGTTTGGGTGTAAACCCGCTACACTATTCACCGGGTCGGATTGGGTTTGGGTTTAGGTAAACCCGCCTCATGGGTACCCGCTCACACACATATAATTACTTTCTCGGTATATTTAATATTCTAAATAATATATCTTCCTTAAAAAACTAATATTCTTTATGTTTGTGGAGACATGTAATAATTTGTTCTTTCTAATTGTTTAAAATGAAGTTGATATTATGAAGTGGAGAGTGAAGTAACTTAGTTGACGAGGAAGAAGCTTTCAATTAATCTTATTGTTTATAGATGTTTATCTTTAATTTTCAACAATTTGTATTGATCATTTGCGGTTTGCTTGTATGTTATAGATTGGTGTTTTTTGTATGATTAATTTGTATGAGAAAATTGATGTTAAGCTTTTATTTTGAAAGAAACTTGTTATTGTAAATTTTTTACCACAAAAACCCACGGGTACCCATGAACCCGCGGATACCCAGCGGGTTGGGTTGGGTTTGAGTTTTTCAAACCCAACGGGTTTTACCCCGGGTTTTTTTGGTGTATAAACCCATGGGTTTGGGTTTGACGAAACCCGCCCCAACCCGACCCATTGCCATCCCTTATGCACCTATCAATAATCAAATCTAGACCCTTTATTTAGAAAATCCAGATCTAAGGATGGAGAATTAAAGGTCATTTTTATTTTCACTAGCTTTCTTAATTGACTCATATCTTTTTCGTTTTAACTCGGTTTTTAATTTTTTTTGCACAGATGCAACGAGTTCATCGTGCTCTACAAAATGAGATCAATTTTAAATATTTTTTGAGGAAAAAAAAATTCTGGCCTCTCGGTACCAACTGCATACCATATGGTATCTTCTTCGTTTTTAATTCGTTTTTGAAAACGTTTGCACAGTAGGGACGAGTTCATCATGATCTAGTGGATCTAGAAATTTCTGGGTGAACAAATTACAAGACCAAAAAATACCACACAATACCATACAATACCACCCTGGTACGGGGTGGTATCTTATGGTATACAATGTTAAAAGTCGTAAATGACAATTAATATACTTCTACTATCATGTATTCAGTCATCCTACAGTTTTGGTTTGTGTCATACCACCATGGTACGCTTTTCAAACCATAGGTATGCCCTTATTTCAATACTAGTCAATACCATATGGTATAGACTGGTAAAAAATGACTCAATTTTTTTTGTTAGAAAAATATATCAAAGTGGATATCATTTTGAAGAGCACAATAAATCTGATCTAACTGTGCAAAAAAAATTAAATTTCGACTTAAAATGAGTGAGAAATCGTCCGTCAAAGATTATGGAGGGGAAAATTAAAGGCTTTCCAGGAGAGAGAGGATGCTGATGTCATGCTGATGTGGGCGGGTTACTCATAGTTACTCACCATAAGGTTACTGACCTGATCGGTTCCCTATCGCCGGGAGTGGAGCAAAATATTCGTGGGATGCAGCGGCGGATCTAGGGGGCCGCCCGGGCCACGGCCCAGCCCTCCCTCGATCCGGAGCTAGTATAGCACGTGTAAATTTTTTATTTTTGGTGTTCGTTTCAGTGTTTGTCGTGTTACGGCCCAGCCTTCTCTACTTTTTTCCAATGTGACCCAGTGCTCTACCCTATCCTGGATCCGCAGC